GGTGTGTGTGTAATCCAGAACTCAGTAACACTTATGACTTGTCTGACCTACTTAAAAACTCTGGTAGACAGAAAAGCTAAAACCACCTCCAGTCTTTTCTGCTGCATTTCCACTCTGGAGCAGTAGCACAGGGGATAGGGAGGGAATGATGATGCTCTGATTTTCAGTAGCTGATTTTGATGCAAGCAGAGTCCTCCTACAGCACTTGGAACTCCTGGCAGAGAAATCCAGCCTACTGGGAATCCATGCCAAGCCAGGGGAGGAAGGACAGAGCTGTGATCTCATACACAATCACTGTATGCAATGCTGCTAGTCGCAGTGGCCTAGGCTTCTGTCTGGGAACACTGCAGAGGAGATGCTGCCTGTGTCTGAAGGTTGAGGTCCATTCTGGTCTAACAGGCTGGGTAAGCAAGTGGAATCTGCCATGTCAGCCTCAGTGGAGAGGCTGAGGTCATCCTGCTGTGCATGGGGGTGGGAGTAAACCATTTGAAGTTCTCACACAGTGATAAAGACTGTCTAATTGTATGCGTGGTCCCTGCTTTTTGGGCATGGGGTCCACTTGACGCATGTAGGGAGCCTGTAGTTCCAGGCAAACGCTCCTTGGTTGGTGGTGGGACTTAAACCCAGAGCCATGAGCGCTAGAGCAAGGCCCCTTCCTGCCTGAGCCCAAGCAGAGGTGGTGGAGAGGAAACAATGTGTGCCAAACCCTGCAGCCAGTTCTGAGTTAGGACCCCTGATGGGTTTTTTTGCCAGCACTTGCATAGACCAGGCGTTCTCCATTCTTAGAGCAGATCCTCAGGGTGGGAATAGGAGGGGACACAATATTATGGGCTGAGTTGGAATATAGCTGTGCAGCTCCTAGCTTGTAGCACACTCTTCATGTAGTTGTGGATGAATCTACCCGAAGCAAGACACTCCTTCAAGAACTTCATCAACTTTGATTTCGCTGCTGCTTCAGACCTGGGGAGGCAGAATCGAGCTTTGCGGACATTTGTATTATACTGGTCCTACCTTCAGCAGTTGCTTCTGCAGGGCTGTTGGCATTACTGATCCCTGATATGCCGACGGAAGCGATCAGACCCTTCTGGGTCAATAGTCTGACCCCCTGGAAAGCTGCATCTGTCCACAGCTGCAGCTGGTTCAGCGGGCTGGAGGGCCCCCCTGCAAGCATTGCTTAAGGAGGTCCTGGGGAGAACTTGAATCTTAACTGGCCTGAGTCTTCCTAGTCTTATATTTTAACTAGGCTCCCAGGGGAGAGCTTGCTTCAAAGTCCACAGAAGCCAGAGGAGCCTTTGCATTATTTCCAGTGAGCCTTGGATCAGGTCCAGAGCTGGTTGGCTTCTTTGTGTGCATTTCATTTCCCTCCCCATACACCCATGAAGGGAGAGAGACCCATGTTTTAAAAGCCAGGAAAATGTGATTGTAAAACCGCAGAGCTCAACAAAGGAAGTTGGGGGAAGGGGAGGGGGGATGGCATCAGGTGCAGGACCTGAAATGACTCTTCTTTTATCTTTTAGCAAATAACTGACTAGATTGCAAATGGACAAAACCCCTTGGTGTATGCCCCGGTGTGTAGGTGTGTAAGGGGCTTGTCTTTGGATCTGTCTCAAGAAGAGAACTACAGGAGCTATTTCATGCACCCTTAACCAGCCTGCAGCTTTTACAGCAGAGGGCTATATCGGTCGATAAGAAGCAATAAGTGGAAAGATAAAGTTTTATTGGGTGTAATGGGGTTAGGTGCCTTCGGAGTCCCTGACCCTTCAGATCTGTACATGAAGAAATCAACAGCAAAAATCAGAATGCAAACTGCCTTGTGAACGTTGATTAAACACTGTACATCGAGTGAGGCATGTGGTCAACTGCATTCCTGGTTGTCGGGCAAGATGGTCGACCATCCACCTCCTCTTCCGGGCATCCTCCCACCCACACACCCTTTGAATGTACATTCAACTCCTGCACCTGACTATAAAGGTGGCCTTTGAGCCCCTGGAACCAAAACCCTTGTCTTGTTATACTGTACAGCTCCCACAAGGGCCTTGATCCTGGCTATAGCCTGCAGGGGTGATAGTCACTCTACATGAACCCAGTTACAAAGCAAAAAGAGGTGCTGTTCCTACAAAGTGATCAAAGTAGTTCTGCACGTGTACAACGTACTGTCATGGAGCTCTCTCTCTCTGTGTATATATTTTTACCCAAACATTGCTTTTCTTTTGTATCAGACAGATGCATATAATATCTCCTTGGCAACACCATGGGAAGGACGATTTCTGGTAGGAACAACTGCAAAAGTGAAAGCAGTAGACTTAGACTTGTTGCTAGCCCTAACCTAGTGACATTGCGAATAGTCGCATTAACCTGACTGACATGAGCACTCAATACCTACCAGCTTTTACATGCACTGAGGCAGTTCTCTTAATCTTTTAATGTTTCAGTAATCCTCAGATTAACTTGGCGTTGGCATAAAAGTTGTTTTCACTGGCGTCTAAGGGAGCTGGTGTTCCTAAGGGGATGTGATTGATTGAGAGAGCCGTGCATGTAAACTGTAGGGTGAGCTGGCTGTTCACTGCTCTGGCTTGCTGAGAAAATGGATGACTGGAGATTCCTGCTCCCAGACTTAAGGACTCACTTTTGTGAGCAGCTGATAGTTTCCAGTCTCCCAAAACCAGTAGAAATGGAGGCCGCTTTGTCCCTGACACAGTTGGCTCCCCTTGGTTGTTCCAAGTCATAGGGAGACGGCTTTGGGCCAGTGCTCCTCAACTGGGTGCTACAGCACCCCACGTGCCACGAGACGCCCTCAGAGGTGCCATAGCGTGGGCCCCACTGCTGTGGCAACCAGAGAAAAGTGCCTCATACCCCTCTTGTAGAGCCAGACCAGAAAGGGCGATGGCAGACGCATGCTTTCTTGCCTCGTTAGGGTTCTCTGATCAGCCTGAAACAGGCAGGAGTGCCTGCTTGCCCTGGGCACTTCTGTTTGCAGGAGACACTATGTAGGGTCAGAGCAGCAAGGGTTATGGCACGAGCTGGCTCTCCCACCTTCTGTACGCTGATCAGAGGACCCTAATGAGACAGGAGACCTCCCACGTGTCCTTCCTCGCATGCAGTCCTTCCTCGCCTGGCTGCGCACCAGGAGCGCAAGGAACTTACTTGGTGGTGGCATCCCCCAGTTGAGAACCATTGAGGTAAGCTGAGGCAGTGCAATGCTGCTTCTCAGCCGGGGCTGTCTCCAAATTCAGAAATGTTGTGGAGGTGCTGCGACTCTGGTAGGGCTGTGAACCCCTGCTTTAGAGACGAGCAAGTCCCACCCAGGCGGAGTACAATTTTACACCCTCTCCTCGCTCACAAGCTTGCTGCAGCCGTCATCCCTGGGAACTGTACTGCCAGCCCGTACAGCGGTATGGGCTGTGACGTGTACTCACGCCACGACTGTAATGCAGCAGGGTCCGGCACCCACTGCTGTACTGCTTCAAGTAACACCTAAGATGACTGTAACTTAAAGTGGTTTTATGGGAGGAACGTGTCCCTCTTTTCTCTGGTTTGGTTTTGTGAATAGCCAGTTTCCCCTCTATGGTCTAGCATTCTCCACGGTCTGTTCACACAGCAAGGAAGGTAAGAAAAATGAGAAACAAGGAAAGTGGGGTTGTAAATCCCCAAAATACAAGCAGCGGCAATCGAGGAAGGGTTGGAACTGAACCCGCTTTGAACTCCAGCTTTGAAAAACTGGACTAGATTTCAAGCCTAGTCTTGAGGGGTGGGGGATGTATGAAAATCAGTTGTTCGGGTTGTTTGCATCTCAGGTTTGGTAGCTGAAATAAGTGGAGCTGAATGAAGTAGTCTTAACTGTCGTGCACCGGGGCACGGGAAAAACTAAGGTTGTGTATTCAAACTTACCTGAGCACTTACTAGGGCATGAACTGACTGTGGCATTAACAACATTTTCTAGCGTCTTTCTTTTTATTTCCTTCCAAAATGGGGAAGGAATATTCCTGTTTTCATCAAGCAGTTGGCAAAGACTAGCCCATTTTGATCAATGATGTTGGTTAATCGCACTTATTGATTTAACAACCACTGATTTGTTAGCCTGAAAGGGTCGGTGTGCGCGTGAGTGTGTGCATGCATAGCTGTCTGCGGATACTTAAACTAGACTGAAAACCTTGCTAGAGAAGCTATTGCATTTGTTATTGCCTTGGAGAAAGGGGCCACTTTGTCTAAAAGGACCGCTGGTTTCCAGCTTTTGTGGTCTCTTTCTCTAGCAAGTACAACTGGCATCCAAAGTATTCGAGAATAGGCCTTGTTAATAAATACACTCCTGCTGGGTAGACAGGAGAATTCCAGATGTGGAAGCTAAATTGGCTTCGTCTCGGTGAAATCTGACCTGTCTCCTCTCCCACCTTTCCTGATGCGGCCTATGCCATTCCTCCCTGGGACTCCTGTGACTGCATATTAAATGGCGGGATGTGGCTGTGTCCCCTGCACGCTTGCATTAATCACAGCAGGTACCTTTCAGGCTGTGCAGAGAAGCCAGCTGTTATGTTCCTACCCAGAGTCGCAGCCCAAGACCTGGATACCATTTAAATGTAAAATTCCTCAAGCATGAAATCTCATCTGTGAGCCCTCTCTGTTGTACTGGAAAAGGACATGAGGACTGGGCCCAGTTGCCTCTCTGTGCTGGGGCCCACGGAAGAGCCTTTACCTCTCATAAATCCCTAGGATACCTATGGTTCCCTACCCCCTCCACGAACTGTCCTGGTGACCCTCATATGCAGTCCCCAGGAAGTACAAGTAGCTGCTAATAGGACATCCACTATTGTTTTCAGGAAGCGAGCTATTTTGCCTTATAGACCTTAACTTCAGCACTATCGGGGACTGGTTGCCAGGGAGGCAGAACTGCTTTTTAGGTGAAAGTGTGTTTTGTACATGTGGGCTGTTTTCCCTCTGATCCCACAGTAACACCTTTTCCAATTTTTTTTTTAATTTGTGTTCTTGGTTTGTTTTTTTTTCAGTGTTGGGCAAGTTGTGAACATCAAAGCAAAAGTAAACCGAGCCTTTAACTCTAGCATGGAGGTTTGTATGCCTTACCCCATTACCTGCATCTTCTGCTGCTTCTCTGTCCTCACAATGAACACTTGTATTAGTGGTACTACCGACCCAACCTTCCTTCCTTTCCCATCCATCATCGTGGCAGTGACAATGGGGCTGAGTGATGTCTCGCTGCCCATTTGATTTCTACAGTCCAGTTTTCTGTGATCCAGGTGCTCTGGACACACCTCCCTTGGCCTGGATCTACAGTGCCTGGGTTTGCAAAGTGGTGTCCCATCCAAGTGCTAGCAAGTCCAAGGCTGCTTAGCATCCAAGATCAGGTGCATTCAGCCCGATGTAGCTGCATATACACCTATTTAGAGGTCATTCTCTTGTTCTTTTAGCTGTTTATACTTTTAATGCTGTTGTAAGAATCCCTGAAGAGTCATTGTTCTCCTGCTGCCCCAGATGTCCCCTGACTCCCAGTCTTTGGCTTGTTTCAGTTACTTTGCTTGGGGAGAAACAGTCTGATCTGGAGTATATGGCTTGCCTTGCTCTCCAAGGAATTAGTTCTATGATCCAGTCACTATAAAGCAGCAGGACTCTTCAAGCAATAGTTGCCCTTGCTGTTCCCCATCTCAAATGAATTGCTGACCCTCAGTATGGGAGTAGAGGTCCTGTGTCAGTGCATCCTCTTCATATCCTGCATTATTTGGGGAAGGAAGCTTGTGACACTTCCCAGGTTCATTTATTCCACCTGCTTTTATTCCACAGGAGTAGTTGAAGCCATTTTGAATTGACTGGTCCTGTGTAGTTCACTGTCTCTTTTGGAATCCGTTCCAGGTTGGGATCCAAGTCAGCTATGAAGATCTCTGCAGTGGCGAGCAGTGGAATGTATGCAAAGCTTATGCCACTTTTGTTGCACAACGCACATCAAACACTAAGGTAAGAGAAGATCCCCCTCCAAAGCTAGAGCTGCTGTAACTTCTAGTTCTGGGTCGTGGGGAAGAAAGCAAGTTGCTGGCATTTGTGTGGAACTGCTTCCAGGGTCTGCCTTGAGATCTCTTGCAAAGATTTCCACTATTGTCATCAGGTGTTGGGTGACTCAGTATTTCGCTCTTGACTTTGAATATACCTAATGTGGCACCTTGAATGGTACATACCTGGCGTGACACTTGCAACATTGCACTTGAATTGTTGGCTCCAACAGAATAAGTTTCTTGCTTGTATTTTTGTAGCATTTATCACAGTCCTTTGGCATGGAGATATGTAAGAGGATCCACTAGGTTGTCATCTATTGAGTGTGCGTGTAATAACTGTAAGCCTGGGTCTGACTGGCCTTTAGGTGTTACGCTACTGCAAATGTGAAATAATAATACTGCAGGATTTGTTGGACATCTGTATAAACACTTTTTTTGACTAGTTGCCTCCCTAGCTGGGCCCTGTTTATAGTGAGGCCTAGATTCTCAAAGGGTTGTTAAGTCTCTCTATAAATATTAAAAAACAAATGGCATTC